TAAAAACATGAACAGAATGCTGGCAAGGAAAAGCATTACATGGTCAATTTCTACAAAAGATCAAGGGTAAAGTGGAGAAAGATAAAATCTGGCAACAGCTTGCAAGTGGAACATTAAAAAAAGAAACTGAAGGCTTGATTTTGGCTGCTCAAAAGCAAGCTATTCGAACTAATGCAATCAAGGCCAAAATTGAAAAATCATCAAATGATTCAAAGTGTAGATTGTGCAAAGAAGCAGAAGAAACAGTAGATGATATATTCAGCTCATCACACAAACTGACTATAAACAATGACATAACACAGTCGCCAAAATGATTCACTGAAACATCTGTAAAAATTATCATCTGCCAGTAATGAAAAATTGGTGGGAACACATAGTTGAAAAAGTTGTTGGAAATGAGCAGGTTAAAATACTGTGGGATTTCCGAATACAAACTGATAAAATTTTGGCACATAACACACCAGATTTAACTGTGGTTGAAAAGAAGAAAGTGTGGATAATTGATGTGGCAATACCAGGAGACAGTAGAATAGAAGACAAAGAATTGGAGAAGATCATAAACTAGCAAGATCTGTAAACCGAAGTTGAAAGATGGCGGCATAAATTGGCAGTGACAATCCCAGTGCTTATTGGCACACTGGGCACCATACCAAAAAACCTTAGTCAGCACTTAGAAAATCTTCATATTGACAGAATTTCCATCTGTCAATTACAAAAGACCACACTGATTGGATCTGCACATATATTACGGGGATACACTAAGACATCCTAGGTTCTTGGGAAAAACTTGATGCGAATGAAGGCCAACACCAGCTAAAGAACTGGCAGCTGTAATTTCATGTTTTTGAGTAAATAAAGCTAGTACACCATGAAGGCTTACTGAATACCAAAGAAACCAAACTGGCCTATAAGAAATACCAAATGAAAAGATTCATGGCAAGGCAAAGTATTACATGGCCAGTATACAAAAGAACTAGCAGGCAAAGCAGATAATAAGAAGACCTGGCAATGGCTAAGAGCAGGAAAGTTGAAGAAAGACACAGAGGGGCTAATTCTGTCTCCACAAGACCAAGCCTTAAGAACAAATGCATACAAAGCCAGAACT